GTTCATTAAACTCACCATACGAAACACAGCAGCATCAAGCTACTATTTTACGATGTGAGAGCGTGGTCCTTCCTCTGTCGACCTATTCGTGCTACAACTATACTACTAATACAACTGCAGCATGGCTCTACCACGTATAGGAATGACTATGAGAAATTGCAGAAATACTTTTTTTTTAAATAAAATAGATGTGACAAACGATCTTACAGGCCTGATGGCAAGTGGCTACTGCTGCTCATGCCCACCTGCAACTAACTTCGAGCAAAGAAGTCTACAGATACGTTGTCGCCACTGAGGATAGAATAGACTAGAATAAAATAGAATAATTTTTTATTCTAATTAGATTACACGTAATTCTTAATGAAAGTAATTTTTTACTTTATCACTGGTTCGGATAAAACCTCTGTCCTAAGAAGAAACAACAAGAATCCCAACGGGCCTTTTTATTAAGTAAATTATACAATATGAATGGTTGCACAAACCACCCTCTATTTTTTTATTACATCCTCTATTTTTAGTCTGTAGTCTGTGTGCTGCCTCGTAACGCTTTCCGGTACGAGGCAGCTACTCGATAACCTTTCTTACTCATCGATTGTCGGTTCTTCAAGCTAGCTGGCTGGCCCATTCCCACTTCAGCTCGTTAATCCGTTTGCCTATGTCGGTTACTCTGTTTATTCTGTGGGTATCTTTATTTCTAAATCTACCCCTCGCTTTACCTATAGATGGTGAGCGGATACAGATAGCAGTGAAGATTAATGTCTCATATATATATATATATATATATATATATATATATATATATATATATATATATATATATATATATATATATATATGACAACATGTAACATAATTAACGCACTTTGAGAAAGTAGTTTGTTCAGAATCAAATAATTTTTTATCCCAAAAATAATTAAAACTACGTAAATTACAGTCACACTAAATCTCATGGACCATATCCTAAGGCAATGATTTAAGAGTGCAGTTTTATTTGTATTATTACTAATTCTCTCATTCAATAAAAATAAAGAAAAATGAACTTTATTTCAAGCACGTTAAAGTCTTTGCGTTCGTGGATTTGTACTGTGACCACAACATTCTTCCGGAATTAGTATAACCAATTTGATAAATAATCAGTGCATAAAAATGTTTAACTGAAAATTCAGTGTATGTATTATGATTATAACATAATATACTAATTGGGGTGTCTGAGGGTGTGCGTTAATTACGTTACATATTGTATATGTATATATATATATATATATATATATATATATATATATATATATATATATATATATATATATATATATCATCATTACAGCCCTTCACAAGTCCACTGCTGAACATAGGCCTCCCCCAAGTAATGCCACAAAGCACGGTCCTGAGCCACCTGCATCCATCGACTTCCTGCATGTCTTACCAGGTCGTCACTCCATTTAGTGGGGGGTCGCCCTACACTTCGCCTACCGGTACGAGGCTGCCACTCGAGAACCTTTTTTCACCAACGGTTGTTGGTTCTTTGAGCTATATGGCCGGCCCATTGCCACTTCAACTTTATAATCCGTTGGGCTATGTCGGTCACTCTGGTTCTACTGCGGATATCCTCATTTCTAAGTTTATCACGCAGAGAAACTCTGAGCATAGCCCTCTCCATAGCTCGCTGAGCGACTTTGAGCGTCCTCATACGGCCAGCTGTGAAGAACCACGTCTCGGTTCCGTGGGTCATCACTGGCAACACGCACTAGTTGTATAACTTAGTTTTCAGGTTTTGAGGTATACCTGACGAAAAGATATGTCGTAATTTCCCGAACGCTGCCCAGCCGACTTGAACCCGTCGATTGACCTCTGGGTCGAAGTTGAACTTACTTAGTCGGACTATTTGTCCCAGGTAAACGTACTCGTCAACAACTTCGAGCTTAGTGCTCCTTACAACTACCGGCACAGGTGTGACATGGACATTAAACATGATCTTCGTTTTGTCCATGTTCATCTTAAGACCTATCCAATAGTGCCTTATTGAGGTCATTGAGCACTATGCTCAATGTTTAAGTCCTCTTGCGATTCTGCCATAAGGACTATATCGTCGGCAAATCGAAGGTGAGTGATGTAATACCGTATCCTTTCGAGTCCAGTAGCTTGAAAACATCTTCCAATGCAGCGGTGAAAAGTTTTGGGGAAATAACGTCACTATTATACTATATATATATATATATATATATATATATATATATATATATATATATATATATATATATACACGACATGTAACAAAAACCCTGTGGTTTCCGTTAACTGCGTTATCAGAACCTGTATCAAAAAACTTTTAAAAAAAATAATTTTAATGAAAAAAAAATTTGCAAATTTTATTAACTCTGCATTGGCCGAGGAGTAAGAGGATTGTCAAAGACCCCGCATTACCGATACTCGTGTGAGTTAGAGGAAATAAAACCACATACAATTTGCAAATGTATTATTTCATAATTTTTAATGTATTTTTTTGAAAAAAAAAAAATTCTATACGCTTGGATACTGATTCTGATAACGCACTTTACGGGATCCACAGGGTTTTTGTTACATGTTGTATATACAACACTCGATCTACTCCAATTACTAACTCCCAGTAATCAGTTATTCTCGTTACCAAATAACACTTATTAACCAAGTGCATGATATGAATGAAATAAAACAAATGTTTGAAATTTTTATTAAATTTCTAATCATTTAATTTTGCTATTAAATTTATAATAACACAATAATATATAATAACACAATCTCAAAGTAATCAGACTAAAATTCTCGCTCATATTGATCATTACCATACCATTTGTATAATATATATATTTTCATATATCATTACTACATATATGTTTATTTAAGTAAATGCCAAAATACCTTATACTTTTCTAAAATATGAAACAATGACGCTTCTTTGCTTACTTTATAGAATTATAGCTTTATTGACTTTGTTATGTCATTAATGTTGCTCTCTAAATCACACGTTTTTGGTAACATTCTTATACTATGCTAATAATTTTATTACATAATTCCATCACATTGAAGGGCCCAAATATTTATACATATGCCAGAAACAATATCATTTTATATTTTACAAATAATTGTCGAATAAATACTGAATAATATAATGGTTGTATGCAAATTTAAGGGGAAAATTCATTCACTGTGCTAAAATAAAAAATACATAAATAATATTTTTATTTATGCTGTGTTTAAATTAATTAAACATATTCTTTGTTCAATAAATATTGTTACGTTAAGTGTTAAGTATAATACTGTGTCAATACTAGAATTCCTAGAAATGCACTTGTTACAAGCAAAATAAATATAGTAAGGGCAAATGTCTCTTCGTTTATTTAATTATTGTTTATGCAATAATACCAATATATTATATAACTTTAATAAATACATATCTAAAATATAACAATAATAAAAACGAGGTCTTGGTAAATTGTGAAAATTCTTTTAAAAAAATTTTTAAAATATTTTTTTACCATAATCAAGTAAGCCAATGCTATTTATTTTATACACGTTTTATTGTAAATAATAATATTACTAAAATATATTTTGTGTTGTTTCGATTTGCTAAACTGTTCTTAACTAGCTATAATTAGCTAAAAAATACTTAGTTTAAGAGAACTATCCCATACATTTAAACTAGATATATTAATATGTGTGTTGGACGAAAGTATCGTTCCATAATGATATACGAGTACTTTAGACCTCAAAAGGTGCGTAAAGTAAACAGGAATCTTCGAATTAAAAAAATCGAGATTGACCCTGTGCTTGCGATAATACTATAGCGTATTGAATTGACATAGACACCCAAAGATGAAAATACAGCAAAGTGGTAACACTGACGCAAAGACCAGCCCTACCAACAATAAATTGTACGTACGTACATTATTGCGTTTTACACTAGCCTTAGTAATGAATCCTTCATATAAAAAAATATCGAAAATCATACTAAAATTATATTTTTCTATCCCCATTACAAATTACAATAGTTTCATAAATAGTTAAAGTTTTTGAGTAGTAGTGGGATCTATAGAATAAGGGTTTCAAATGAGCACACATTCCACCTGATGGTAAGTGGATGCTGTGGCCCATAGATCTATATTTATTCTCGATTAAATCAAACTGCCGTTTTGTTACACCAGAGGACTAAGATGGAATGCCTCGTTTCCAGTATTTCCAAAATGTAACTATATATTTAATCTTGTTATAATAATTGAATGCCTATGAGGTTGACGTAATCCTCCCTAGTTTAGAAATGTGTCACGTGTAGACTATTTATGAGCTGTTAAGGAGGTTTAGGAGGATTAGATCTGAAATAGTGACGGATGTTTTCAGTCTTACAAATCTTTTCAAAAAGAGATTTAGTAAATATCGTTTGAAACTTGTATGATAAATAATTAATATGTTTAAGGCCCATACATGCTTTTATATACCTTCCGTTAAAACTATACATATTATACATAATATTTATATGTATGCTCAAAAGTTGTTACTCAGAACAATAAACAAGCGGCAGCGATATGTGAGTTTTCTTTCAGTAGTACATGGCACATAATCCTATATGTAAAGTTTTTAGGACACACAAAGAAAAACATAAGATAAATATCACCTTTTCAAATAAAATCTATACAGAACACAAAACTATTGTGTGTAACATGTGGTTCTAAGCACAGATAACTATTTACTAGTCAGAGAGTCCTAAGGATGAGAGCGAAGGAAGTTCAATTTGACACAGTTTAGATTGAGAATATGATAGATTTGAATTGATCATAAGAAAAACAATTTCGACACAGGTTAGTTTCGTACTGAAACAGAAACCAATCCCTAGTTTTACATTTACCCAAACGACCAGTGAGCTCGCTGCATCAAACTAAATTATAAATTATCTTGCTTAATAATATAATCTTACAATTGATATCACATAGCACTACGTATAAATATGGCTGCGCACGTTCTGTGGTACCTCAGTGTGTGGGCAATGCAAGTCTATCTAGGTGTGAGCTTTTGGGGCGGAGGCGTGAAGCGAGACGTATACGTAGTACGGAAAAAACTGTCGCAATCCCGTGGGCAAATATCATCACGACTGCGCAAAGTGCTACGAATCCAAACGCGGAACCTGGAAAGCATACAAACACAAGACAAATATTAAGTGTAATTCTAGAAATAGAAGACAATATTCATTGTTACAAAGGCAAATATGTGGTTAATAAAAAATATTTACAATTATGCCACATAGTGGTTTTTTTTTTGCAAAAATCACCCATTTTAATAGTTTTATTTTTACAAAAATTTGACAGCAATTAAGCCTCGTACCCTACTCAACTGCTAGCATTTTTGAGGCAATATAACGTTACAGTGAGTTTGAGAAAGGTTTCAGGACTGAGTTACCATTCCTTTAAAAAAAATGCTTCACTATTTCATTCCTATTCTGATTTAAATACCTTATATATATATAAGGTGTATTAAATCAGAAAGGGAGTAAAATATTGTTACAAAGTATTTTAGTAGTAATGTTAGTAAAAAATAAAGTTTTTAGCGTTAGCAACATATCAGATCATATCATATGCCGTGGTAGCTAAGGGGCTAAGCAATCGCTGTGATTTTTGATTTCACAGTACGCGAGCAATCCGGGTTCGATCCTCGCCGGCACCAATGAACTTGCTAATTGTAATTTTAAGTGTTGATTTACCACATGCTCGGAAGTGGAGGAAAACATCGTGAGGAAACCGGCATGTCTGAGAAATAATCATAAACACTCACGCCTGTCACCCAGAGGGGTAGGCAGAGACTACAGACTTCCATTTGCACGATCCTGACACACCATAATCTAATCATAATCATATCTGAGAAATAAGAAAAAGAATATTTAGAAAATATGTGAAGATCGCCAACACGCATTGGTACAGCGCAGTTTCGCACTAAAACCTTCTCGGAAATGAGACGAGGCCAGCCCGTGTCCAGCGGTAATCTTAATTTTATACCTTGTATGTAAAATAATCCCGTGTACATTTTGTTAAATATTAAAAATAATTTTTTTTTTTATAGGATAGGATGACAAACGAGCACACAGTCCACCTGATGGTAAGTGGTTGCTGTGGCCCATAGACATCTACATCTGTCCTCGATTACAAATCAAAATGCAGATGCGTTGTCATCCGTGAGGACTCAGGTGGAATGCCTCGTTTCCAGTAAAAAGGCGGTCTCCGGTTCTCTACACTCACCATACGAAACACAGCAGCATTAAGCTACTATTTGACGGTGGTATTCTGTGAGAGCGTGGTCCTTCCCCGGTCGATCCGACCCATTCGTGCTACAACTATACTACTAATATAACTGCAGCATGCCTCTACCACGTAATAACAAACGTATTACGTTTGTAGTGGCAGCGTATGAATTCCACTACCATACACGTATATCATACCGTGGGTGTCGTAAGAAGTGATTGGCGGCAGCATCTGCGTCAAACGATAACGTCGTGAGGAAAGTTATATGTCTGAGAAATAAGAAAATTCGCCCACATGTAATGGTGCAGCGCGGCGGTTCGTTCGAAGCCACAAGCCTCCTCTCAGGAGAGGAGCTGAACTGTAACTTTTAACTTTAGCAACTTATCATATATTACTTTATATATATTACTATAATTATTGACGGCTCCGCGGCGCAGTGGCTTAGCAATAAGTGGCTGCGCCGGGGGCTGCGAGTTCGAATCCCGCACGGTACAAGTATTTGTATGGCCTACAAGTAATTGTTCCGGGTCTGGATGTTTGTCCTTGTGAAAATTGTGTTTGTAAACTGCCCCCACGATACAGGAGAAAGTCCTAGTGTGGAGGTAACGTTTTTCAAAAAATAGGAAAAAAGAAAAAGAATGAAAGAATGATATATATGTTGTTTAACATATCATATAATGTAAGTTTAAATAATAAACTTAAGTTTAACCGGCTAAACTTAGATTTAGATTTGAACGAAGACTAATGTTATTTTTCCGCCTACACTTAGTCATAGCAATGAATAAATTAAACCTAAGATTAGTCAAGTAAAGTACAGTGTTAATTACGGCGTATTAAATACAATAAACAGTATTTTTTAATTTTAATATGCCTCTACAGTTTAAAAATTAGGCTATGCTCAAAACTTATACTCGGTTTAGTTTATTTTTTAATTAAAATAAGCACTATTACTATATTTCTAGCATGAAAACTTCATTCCCGTTGGGTTTCATCCTGGTTCTTCCCACGATAAAGGTCTTTACGAATCAGTAAAAGTTATAAGTTTAAAAAGTTAAAAGGTTAATATTTTTTAAAATGATATAAATATTATTTTTAGTAGAGTTGAAACCGATATCCGGTAACTATCCAAGATTCGGTCTATCCGGCCTAAAATTACTAACCGGCTGGATACTGAATTAAAAAAACCACAAAATATCAAATTTAATTAAGTACTTCATTTATGTCACTTAACAAAATATAATCAGTAATAACAAAATTTTCATTTTAAAACTTACAAAATTAGTACTTGTAATGTGCTAGGGCACAGAATAAATAATAGTACTACGTAGCTAAGGGCCAATTATGGTGAATAAATATTAATTTCTCTGCATATAAAGGTAACAAGCGGTTTCGTCTGTCTTGATAAACAAGGCCAGCTTCAGAAAAAAGTCTTTCGCTGTATACACTGCAGCAGGGTGCTAAAAGATAGATTTTGGCAAGCTTCGATAAATTTGGATATTGTGTAGTACTGTAATACCTGCCCACCAAATATAAGTGTCACGATCGCGAACAGTTTGCCTTTCGACTTTACTTTTCGCTTATTGCGATGCACCAAATGTTATCCGGCCGCCGGTATCCGGCCAAACAACTATCCGTCTCATCTCTAATATTTAGTACAAACATTACTAAATATTAGAGATGAGACGGATAGTTGTTTTATATGACGTGTAGTTTTTTTAAATAATAAAATTAGGTAAGATTAATAAGATTAATAAATCGTCAGGTCTTCTCGCCACCCGTACCGCAAAGCTTGAAGACGAAAGTCTTCGACCAGTGCGTCCTGAGAGTATTCCCATATGGTACCGAAACGTGGAAACTAATGGTACGACTACTCCACACACTCAAAGTCACCCAGCGGGCGATGTGCTCGGAGTTTCTTTGGTGGATAAGTTTCGTAACGAAGTAACCCGCCGGAGAACCAAGGTCACCGACGTAGCCTTCCGTATTTGCAGGCTGAAGTGCCAATGGGCTGGTCACATTTGTCGCAGAAGCGATAACCATTGGAGTAGGCGTGTCATAGAGTGAAGGCCGCGTTTAGGTAAACATGGGACGCCCCCTGGCTAGATGGAGCGACGATCTGCGCAAGGCAGCTGGCAGCAACTGGATTCGTGAAGCCGAAGATCGGGCTAAGTGGCGCGCCTTGGGAGAGGCCTATGTCCAGCAGTGGACTGCCGCAGGCTGATGATGAAGATTAACAGCCTATAAATGAATGCCCCACTGTTCGGAATAAGAATTCTCACATATCTGAAAACATTGTTGGACCAGGAGTTCCTTGCACTACCACAATGTGTGTCGGTGGACTTTACATTTTTATTTTACTAGAGAATAAACACGCAAGTTTAATGAATAATTTTTCACAATATAGAATTAATAATTTTAACTTAATATTTCTATTTTTTTTACAAATACTGCTGTGTTAGATTTTTTTTTCATTTCAAAACTTACTTCCCCTATTAAACCCCTCGGCACGTGTCTAGTTTGCCTTAAGGATAATCCGCCACTGTCCGGAGGTAAGGTCTCATCATAGTGACAAAACGAGCCCCAGCTCAGCACACCTAATACTACTCTTCGAAAGATCCAGTTGCATTCACCGAAGTTACACCTTGAAGGTACCATCATCGACATCATTACAGCCCTTCACAAGTCCACTGCTGAACATAAGCCTCCCCCAAGGAATGCCACAAAGCACGGTCCTGAGCCACCTGCCTCCCCCTCGACTTCCTGCATGTCTTACCAGGTCGTCACTCCATCTAGTGGGGGGTCGCTCTACACTACGCCTACCGGTACGAGGCTGCTACTCGAGAACCTTTCTTCCCCATCGGTTATCAGTTCTTCGAGCTAAATGGCCGACCCATTGCCACTTCAGCTTACTTAATCCTTTGGGCTATGTCGGTCACTCTGGTTATACTGCGGATATGCTCATTTCTGAGTCTATCACGCAGAGAAATTCCGAGCATAGCCCTCTCCATAGCTCGCTGTGCGACCTTGAGCGTCCTCATACGGCCAGCTGTGAAGGACCACGTCTCAGATCCGTAAGTCATCACTGGCAATACGCACTGGTTGTACGATCTAGTTTTCAGAGTTTGAGGTATACCTGACGAGAAGAATGTGTGGTCGTAATTTCCCGAACGCTGCCCAGCCGAGTTGAATCCGTCGATTGACCTCTCGGTCGAAGTTGGACTTACCTAGTCGGACTATTTGTCCCAGGTAAACGTACTCGTCAACAACTTCGAGCATAGTGCTCCCAACAACTACCGGCACAGGTGTGACATGGACATTAAACATGATCTTCGTTTTGTCCATGTTCATCTTAAGACCTATCCGTTGGGAGACACCATTGAGGTCATTGAGCATAGTGCTTAGGTCCTCCAGCGATTCTGCCATAAGGACTATATCGTCGGCAAATCGAAGGTGAGTGATGTACTCGCCATTGATGTTAATACCGTATCCTTTCCAGCCCAGTAGCTTGAAAACGTCCTCCAATGCAGTGGTGAAGAGTTTTGGGGAATTAACGTCACCCTGTCTTACACCTCTCTGCAGTTGGATAGGTTTCGAACTCCGGTTCTGTACTCAGATAGCCATCTTAGCCCTACTGTACAAACACTTCAGCGCTTCGATATACCGAGAGTCAACTTGGCACCGCTGAAGGGACTGTAGCACCGAATAAATTTCAACGGAATCAAAGGCTTTCTCATAGTCCACATACGCCAGGCAAAGTGGCAGAATTACTCTTCGGTCTTCTGTACAATCTGCCGCAGTGTATGTATGTGGTCTATGATACTAAAGCCTTTTCGGAAACCGGCTTGTTCGGGAGGATGGTAGTCATCGAGTCTGCGTGCGAGACGATTCGTAATGACTCTCGAAAACAGCACGTAGACGCGGTTCAGAAGGGATATCGGTCTGTAGTTCTTCAAGAGGGTGTTGTCACCTTTCTTGAAGAACAAGACTACCGCACTTCTACACCACGCCTCCGGAGTAGTGCCACCATGGAGGACGGAATTAAATAGCCTCTGAAGGACTTCAAGTACCAGCGTTCTACCCGCTTTCAGAAGCTCCGCTGTAATTCCATCCTCGCTTGGGGCCCTGCCATTCTTACGGTGCTGTAGAGCCACCCTAATCTCGCTCAGACACACGTCCGGGATATGAGATCTGTCTCTTTAGTTGCCTGTATGCTGTCAAATCTGTTGACGATTGCAGCCTCTTCTCCCGTCTAACAGCCATGAGGTTAAGAATGTTATGGGAGAGTTTTTGTGTTCTTCTGCGCAGGGTCTTGCAGAACTTATCTCCGACCACATGGACAGTTTCCACGAGCTTGCCATTCGTATCGTCCACTGCATTGCAATCATCTAGGCACTGAAAGCGGTTACGTACGAGTAATTCGAGCTGAAAGGTTTCGGGATTCTAGATTAGAGCATGAGGGGGGACGGAGCGTTAACTTCATTAGACAAGACCTCTCCAACTTAACGTTTAGATTCAGTGTGCCTCTAACCATTCGGTGATCGCTGCCAGTTTTCACCCTTGCGATCACTGAGATTGAATGAGTCAGACTGAGTAATATATAAATCTAGCATACTATGCAAGAATTCCGAAAAAACGATCATGGGGCCTTATGTTTTCACGAATTAAAGAAAGAGTTCACACGCGGTTGAAGTGAAATGTAGAGAACACTAAACTTCAATAGAATGAGCGGAATGCAGAGTATCAGGAGTAGAATAATAGTAGGGTTTACTTATAATAATGCTGTTACTAAGTTTAAAAAACATTTAAAATAAAATTTATTAATACGAGGAGGCTACGAAGCACCGCACGAAGAGAAGATCGAGATAATAGGAAACACTATACTGTATTCTATCTCATTCTCTCGTAGACTAAATCTTATAGATGTGTATGTTTGTCTCTTTTTAGTGTCGCTTTTTCGTTTCATCGGGTTTCAAATCACAAATATTCTAAAGAAGTTTTCACTTCAAAACAATGTATAATGTATTCTATTTCCTTCTCTTGCAGACTAAATTCTACAGCGTGTATGTTTGTCTCTTTTTAGTGTCGCTTTTTCGTTTCATCGATCGTTTCAAATCACAAATATTCTAAAGAAGTTTTTACTTCAAAACAATGTATAATGTATTCTATTTCATTCTCTCGAGACTAAATTCTACAGCGTGTATGTTTGTCTCTTTTTAGTGTCGCTTTTTCGTTTCATCGAGTTTCAAATCACAAATATTCTAAAGAAGTTTTTAATTCAAAATACTGTATAATGTATTGTATTTCATTGTCTCGCAGACTGAATCCTATAGATGTGTATGCTTGTCTCTTTTTTAGTGTCGCTTTTTCGTTTCATCGATCGTTTCAAATCACAAATATTCTAAAGATGTTTTCATTTCAAAACACTGTATAATGTATTCTATATCATTCTGTCGCAGACTAAATCCTATAGATGTGTATGTTTGTCTCTTTTTACTGTCGCTTTTTCGTTTATCGAGGTTCAAATCACAAATATTCTAAAGAAGTTTTAATTTCAAAACACTGTATAATGTATTGTATTTCATTGTCTCGCAGACTGAATCCTATAGATGTGTATGCTTGTCTCTTTTTAGTGTCGCTTTTTCCGTTTATCGAGTTTCAAATCACAAATATTCTAAAGAAGTTTTCATTTCAAAACACTGTATAATGTATTCTATTTCATTCTGTCGCAGACTAAATCCTATAGATGTGTATGTTTGTCTCTTTTTTAGTGTCGCTTTTTTCGTTTATCGAGTTTCAAATCACAAATTTTCTAAAGAAGTTTTCATTTCAAAACACTGTGTAATGTATTCTATTTCATTCTGTCGCAGACTGAATCTCATAGATGTGTATGTTTGTCTCTTTTTAGTGTCGCTTTTTCGTTTCATCGAGTTTCAAATCACAAATATTCTAAAGAAGTTTTCACTTCAAAACACTGTGTAATGTATTCTATTTCATTCTGTCGCAGACTGAATCAAATAGATGTGTATGTTTGTCTCTTTTTAGTGTCGCTTTTTCGTTTCATCGATCGTTTCAAATCACAAATATTCTAAAGAAGTTTTAATTTCAAAACACTGTGTAATGTATTCTATTTCATTCTCTTGCAGACTAAATCCTATAGATGTGTATGTTTGTCTCTTTTTAGTGTCGCTTTTTCGTTTATCGACTTTCGAATCACAAATATTCTAAAGAAGTTTTAATTTCAAAACACTGTATAATGTATTCTATTTCATTCTCTCTCAGACTAAATCCTATAGATGTGTATGTAGCCTAAAATAAAAATAAGATAGGACCTGTGCCTGAAGACGAAGTCTTTTTTGACGTTAACTATGAGAATACACTTACAGCATAGCGTTTTTAATGTTAGAAAAGTTAGTCATGGATAAATAGAACAGATACATACATATATTCAAAGTATATCTTGTTTATAACATTTTTCTGCGGTATTTTTTACAATTACACATTTTAAAAGTTTTTAATTACTATAATTTATTACCCACTTCTCACTTTTTGAACCCTAACGTATGTAGGGAAGACAGTGGAATTTTAGTTTTTTTTAAACATTTTAACGTGTAATAACCACAACAAACTTACTCCTATTTTAAGAATTCATAACTAGTCCGCTTTAAAAATTTATCACATACCCGGCTTATTCCAATCCAATGAAGGATATATGGCAGGTAAGCCAAGTCGGTCTGTACCGCCTACGACCCAGTAAAAGGCACTAAATAGGCCGTAAGCAAGTCCCGCACCGACGCCGTAAAGTGCGTGTGCCGCGCGTACCGGGTGCGCCGTCAGCGCCAGCTCGCACAGCATTGCTACCGAGTTGCCGCCGTGGACTAGCACGTTCAATGCGTTGATTTCATGTATTCCTGTGGTAAAACACATAATTTGTCCAAAAGAAACTCAATACTAGGCTAAAATTATATATGGTAGAGCCATATACTATACGTAGTAGAGCTATGCTTCAGCTATATCGTGATTGTAGCAAGAGTGAGTCGGCTCGATAGGGGAAGAACCACGCTCTCACAGAGTACCAGTGTAAAATAGCAGCTTTACGCTGCTGTGTTTTATATGGTGAGGCGACCCGAGGCGAGGTGAGGAAACCCGAGACCCTTTTTACTGGCAATGAGGTATTCCACCTTGGTCCCCGGGGGTGACAACGCATTTGCATTTTGAATTAGAAACAATGTTAAACCTTGATGTCTATAGGCCTCAGCATGCACTTACCATCACGTGAACTGTGTGCTCGTATATTAATCTTATTCTACAAAAAAAAGCTGCGGTAGATTTGTGGTGGCCACTTAAATAGAAAGCATCACCCGATTTCGTCAGACGAGACTTAAAAGTTGACTTTGGAGTTTTTTCTAATTTGAAACTGCACTTTCACTTTGTTATGTCAAATATCACGTCAAAACCTACTAAACACAATAGAAAAGGCAAAATAATGTCGAAATATCATCAATCAAATTGTAAAAAATAATGTCCTAACTAACTAAACTGAAATACGAGTAACGTCTGGACGTTACTCGTATTCCAGTGACGACGGCCAGTCTCAAGAAAGAATAGCCATCTGCGTAGGACAAGATTAAAGTCACAGAAATAGTAATAATAAGACAATATTAATACGATTTCTGTGATTAAAGTGCTTAAGTATATGCGCAAGCACACGTGCACTCTCTATTCATGTGATCTCATCACATAAGAATAAGGGAATATACAAATAATTTTTAATCTGACACGATCAAGAGACGTCATACTGGCTCTACCATGCTGTAACTATATTATGTTTAATAAATCGTAGAGTGAGTGTAGAGAACTGGAGAACCCTTTTTACTGAAAACGAGGCATTCCATCTCAGTCTTTGGGTGGGACAGTGCATTTGCTTTTTGATTCTTAAGTGAGGATAAACGTAGATATCTATGGGCCACAGCATCCACTTTCCATGAGGTGGACTGCATGTGCTCGTTTGTCACCCTAATTCTATTACAAAATGTCAGGCATAGGAACAACAGCTTTACGTGCTCTCCGAGTCATGACGATGAAACACCGTCATCTTTCTGTCGCCGTTTACTATTGATATTTGTCAAAAAATTCAATAACTGATTTTTTGCTCCTCGACTGCGGAACTCTAGTTGGGGACTTCATGATGAGCAGTTGCATTTACAACTACTGGACACAGCAGACTAACGCGGCAGTCAATCTGCTACGAAATATGGTAAATATGACAAAATCTCCAAAAATGCGTGGAAGGCATTTTGGGTGCAGTTTTAAAAAATACAATCTCTATAGAAATTTTCGGATAAAATAATATATTAAAATATCCAGACTAACATGGTGTCAGTTAGCAGCGTGAATGCTGCGAGATATTTGAATAAGTAAAAAAAAAAAATAAGTAAGAAATAAAAAAATCGTACGTTAAACGTCATGTTTTGCTCACTGTCGTTTAAAAATGAGGTTCCTCGGCAAAATACACTTCGCAGGCATAGATATATATAAATAAAATATATATAAAATAACTAAGGTAACGGATAAAAATTTTAAAGCACATTACAATCCCGAAAAGACTAACCAATATAAGCAGCACGTTTTAACAAGTACCTATAAAGCATTTGGTAGTCATCACTCTTGGCATTGATGGCATCGTTTTGTACTATCATCGCCAATCTTCATGCCTAGTGTGACGACCTAGGACAGCGATGGAGATCAGCCTTTTAAAACCAAAAAAAATATTTTTACACAAATGTTGGACCCATAGTGGAGGAGTCAACTACTGTGACTGACTGAGCTTTTTGGCTGTTACGTAATACGATCAATAAGGAACTTACTAGGGTCATGAACTAGAGTCCAGTAGACGAGTGTGATGACGAAGGCAAGGTCAGTCGCCACGGTATGCGCCAGCCAGTACAATCGACACAGCATCGGAGTCTTCTGCCTCCTAGGCATCTGGATTTCATCATCTTCGCACGCTGAAATTATAGGACATTATTTTAAAACCCCACAAACTCATAATAGTTTTGCTAATAGTCGGGTTTTTGCATGAAATCAATTTTGGTGTATTTTCCTATATTACTTTGCCTTTTAAATTTTCCTACCTTTGATTAAAAGGGTTAAAAGGGTTTAACAATGACATCGGGACGTCAGTCATCTCAGTCCCCCGTGACCATGGGTGCTGGAAAGCGCCCGAAACGTTGGGAATTAAAAATAATAGTAACATAAACGCGATAAAATCCGTAAAAGTAGTTTTAATCAATGTGTAGTGTTCGCGTAAATATATCCCTTCAGCTACGGAGACTCTAACCGTAATACTCCGTTGACTGCGGAGCTGTTTAATAAAATGGACGGTTGATTGGGCCCAATCCGTTTAAACGCAAATATCTTGATTTTGGTATATCGAATACTATAATATGTATACATTTCTGAATTCTCTATGAAATTTCCTATAAACGGGTACATATATTTAATAAAGTTTTAAAGTAATTAGTATAACTAAATATAATATAACCAGCATGTTAGTTCTAAGATAGCAGTTTGCTTCATACATATTAAAAAACGATTTTACTCGTACTTAATAAGATGAAACACAAAATGAGATTACAAATAAGAAGCTTACTTACCCAGCCATTGTTTTAACACAATTCACCACACAATAAATATAAATTAATACAAAATAATTACAAACAACTTCGTTGTTTGCGCGCGTCAATCATGGCTGACTCAAGGAACGGACGACATTTAAGAATGATTTAAATAAAATATACTACTAAAGTGTATAAACCTGTGAGGTTTTTATGCTAGCCTTTCTTATCCTGTAGACATTGACATATGGTATAATGAGTTAGAAATAGTACATAATGTTTTGTTTCTTTATTAAAAGAGCGGGTAAAAATGTCTAACACTTGGACGCCCGCAGTCAACGGAGATATTTTCGTGTCCAAGTTTTGGACATCCGCAGTTGAGAGGATATGAAATCATTTTCCTACCTTGTTTCCATCATATCAACTTAAAGAATATTTTTTGTGAGAGTTTTTTTCATCAATTATACCGCTACTGCCTTTCAAAGTCTACTGCTATCCTTTGCTAGGTTTCTCCATAGATTGCCTCCAAAGTGGAATGTTTGCCATAGTTGCCACGCATGGCACGACCGCAGTTGTTTAATTTTTAGTTGTTGTTAAGACGCTGCTGCCCTCCCGCTGCAATCTCCCGGATTGTCACCCTGGTTTGTTTCCCTCTGTCGCCTCTTACGACACCCACGGGACGATATGGAGTAGTGGATATTCATACACCGCCAACACGGTCAATTTATCAATTGTAATTTTGACTTTTTTCATACTATCCCACCTCATTCTCTGTATAATTTGTAAAGCAAAAATTTGTACATATAATTTATATGTCATTTTTCTTAAACTTTTTTTTTTGATTAAAACATATTTAATAAAATATATAAACACAAAAAAACAAAAAATAACTCGGCAAAGCGGGTTTTCACAGCTAGTTACCTTATATTAGGAACGACGTTTTGCCATTAATAATAATAATAACAAACTTTTTATTAGCATAATTACATTCCTTTCCTTTACAATAAGCTTCTTTACAATAAGTTTAAAATAAGCTATTTACAAATTTTAAGTTGCTTACTTCGTTTTGTTACAGCCGGCTGTACTAGACCGAGCCTGTATCACAGACGGCAGTTCCTTCCTTCATGTCACAAAAAATATAAATATTACTAAATTTAGCTTATATTCACCATAGAAAAAACACAACAATAATAACAACAACAAAAGTTAGTTTTACGGGTATACTAAAGTTAACATTGATATTTAATTCTTTTTTTTATAACTAAAGCCACAAAAGTAAAATTTTTAAGAAAAGTAAGGATGGACCACATAATAGAGTGAACTTTAGCTAAATTAATATTAATATAGTAGAATAATATTATGTAAATGTAAATTTTTAACACAGTAGTTTTAAACAATATAAGTTAGTTATATAATGTGGTCAATTTTACTAAATTAATTATTTATTCATAGGTATATATTACAAAAATTATAATAATGAACTTAACTAAAATAATAATTAAAATTATAATATTTACGATTAAAACTAATTATATACAATATAAAAGAAGAAACTATAATATAGAAAATCTAAAACTAAAAATTTAAATACTAAAAAAAGACCTGCTCCCCGTGGTATAGTGCCAAGAACGCTGGCTGCGTTTACTCGCTGAATAGCTATACTTAGCCTTTGAGCGAGGAAAGAACCAGCCCTCTTATCACCAGCAGCGACGACCAGTCGTGGATACAGTTCCTTTAGAAACTTCACTGCATGTGGACCCCACGGACCGATAGTCCCTACAGCAAATAGCACAAATATGTTGTCATTTCTCAAAGACTCATATTTGCGCCATTTACTAAATTCGGCTGCCTCTGATGCCGCCCCGGCTCTAAAAGAGGTACCCTTGAGATGAGAGGCCGCCAAAGTGTCAACGCAAGTAGCATCCCACACTAGGGCTTTACCTCTCTCCAAAGTCATACCGTCGGGTCTCCTGCCATCGTCTCTAAATATCCCGCAAGGCTCTAAAACCGAGGGGACATTTATGGAGACAAGAGCCCTTCGGATGATTTCGTTCAAAGAACCGTGACGGGAAAACCTACCCGCACTTTTCTTGCATAAAAATCCGTGGAGCTCAAACTCATCGACGCTGCTACCACAGGGGCACTGGTGAGGTTGACAAATTGTCACTCCTAGCCGGATTCCTACGGCGATGCGCAAGCTTTCCCCATCAAACAATGTGCCGAGATTACATGATGGTAGAGCATGTAACCAGTGGCTAGATTCCTTAGTCGAAACAGCTAGAAGGTGAGCCTGAACTTGTTGAAATTTTAAATAAATTTTAAATAAATTTATCTGGACACTCCGTAACAACGGAATATCCCACTGTTTTTGTTGGTTAACTTCCAGTGGGACATTTTCGCCGGGACAGAGCGTTAGCCATGTTTGCCTTGCCTCTGCAGCAAAGCACAGGTCTACTTTATTATTTAAAATTGTGTTACATAGGTCATTGACACTATGCACGGAAGCAAGGAAAACAGGCAATGCGACGCTAGAAATATTTCGTACACCAATACCACCAAATTTGATAGGTAAAGTGGCTTGATTCCAGGCCACTATTGTATTTAATCTCAAATTTAGAATTTTTTCAAAAGCAATTTTAAGATTACTATCAATATCTTTTAAAATATCCGAACATTTCCAGACTGGACTTGAGCGTAACAAGTACGTAAATTTAGGTACAAGGAGACAATATTTTAAAATGGTAAGGGCAATATGGGGGTTTATATAATTTATCAACGTGATTTAAACATTGATCAAATTTTGTTTTTAAAATGGTTTAATACTACCGAAAAACAACGGAGCACCGAGCAGGTAAAGCGATTCCGAATTGACAGTTTTTATTCCTGGAGAAATCTGATTGAAATTTTGAATTAAAGGTATCTATCTCTGTTAGAATTAGATAAATTATTAGAAATAAATATTTCATATTTATTGGTATTTGGTTCAAGACCAATATTTTAAAACTTTGAAAAATATGAGTAAGATCATTGAGGACGTCATCTCCTTTACCTCCCAGTGTACCGTCGTCCAGATACCATACATTCAGCTTGGATTTTAAATTTGAAATAATAGGTTGAATTCCCAAACTGAAAAGAGCTGGACCTAATGGATCACCCTGCTGAACCCGACAGCAGACTCAATAATATGGTTTTGATAAAACAAGTTTGAATTTTGACTGTAACATTGCCAAACGTAATGATATATTTCGGAGGTATTGTTAGCCACTTCTTTCAGCGGGTTATCCTATCAATAGAGTTAAAAGCATTTCTAAGATCAACCTTCAGAAGAACATCTGCATTGGAATTAGTTAAGAAAGTACGCACCGAATGTACCGCCGCCTCACAGACAGCTTTGGTGCCAAAGCCTAGTTAAGTAGGTTGAAATTTTGTCTTAAAGTTTGAGATTATGTGCCTGCAAGCTAATTTTGAAGTTAAGCGTCGAAATGTAAAACCAACAGCAATAGGACGGATACCGTTATCCTTTTTTTTGAAGGCACACAATCTTGCCCCATATAAGTAGGGAATGAAATTGGGATTAACACTACCAGAAAGCATAAAATTACATAATTTTGTAATGTCATTAAGAAGTACCCTACCGGTGTCACCGGCAGATACGCTTACAAGAAGATTTGAGATGCTGAGGCGTAATCCCGTCAATGCCGCCGGCAGAGCCATTCGAAAATGACAATATTGCGTCTAAAGTGTCTTTTTCAGAAATTTGTAAAGGTTGCATAGAAGTATTGGGAGGCAGCAGTAAATTCTGGGAAGGATTGACTGAAGGATGTTTCTAACGAAGGCCTTCAAGAGTTTCGACATTACGAGGAGCGAGGATGTCATCTGAGAATAGAATACGGGATGCATTTTTTATGTCGCCGCCCATTACTTTTGATTCAACTACTTTTTTTTAAATCAAATTTAGGATAAGGTCGAGAGAAATGAGTATTAATCGGGTAATCCAAATTTTGAAAATAATTTTCTTTTAGTTGAGACGTAATTGATTTATTTATTGTTTTATTAAAATGAAAATGGGAATACGCGAATGTAAATAATTTTTGCCAACTCTTTTCACAATTCGTTAGAAAATTTTGAATAGTTAATGATAATGCTTTAGCAAGTTGCATCCTCGCACCTCTGGGAATTCTTTTAACCACTGGTACGTTACTATACAAATTGTATAATTGTTCCGAAAAAAGTGAAGAATTTGTGTCATTAGGTATATTACCAGAAGAGTCATGAATTTCTACGGTAGGCTGTGAAGCCGAAATATTTTTACTATGGCATCGTTTAAAGTGTATATTTAATCCCTTTTCATAATTCCTAATTCATAGGTATTGAATATTATTATAATGGTC